AGATTTGATGGACTATGGAATAAGGAGTGGCAAGAGCCTAATCTTGGGGATGCTCAAGGCACCCAAGGTAATATTCAAGGACAACCAAGCGCCTAAGCTTGTGATGCCCCGGAAGGCATCCCCTATTTCGTCTTCAATCGATCGGTAAATTTACTTGAGGCTATATTTTTATTCACCACATGATATGTGTTTTGCTTGGAGCGTCTTGTATGATATGAGTCTTTGATTTTTAGTTTACCACAATCATCCTTGCTGTACACACCTTTTGATAGGGACACGCATTAACCGTGAATTTATTAGAATACTCTATGTGCTTCACTTATATCTTTTGAGCTAGGCAATCTGCTCTAGTGATTCACTTATATCTTTTTAGAGCACGTCAGTGGTTTTATTTTATATAAATTGACGAACTCTCTTGGTTCACTTATATTATTTTGAGAGTCTCTACAGCATCGTAATTTTCTTAGGTTATGAATTTAGTCCTAATATGATGGGCATCCAAGAGGGATAATAAAAGCTTTCATATAAAGTGCATTGAATGCTATATGAGAAGTTTGATTCTTTATGATTGTTTTGAGATATAAAGATGGTGATATTAGAATCATGCTAGTAAGTAATTGTGAATTGGTATAAATACTTGTGTTAAATTTTGTGATTCCCGTAGCATGCACGTATGGTGAACCGTTATGTGACGAAGTCGGAGCATGATTTATTTACTGACTCTCTTCCTTATGAGTGGCGGTCAGGGATGAGCGATGGTCTTTTCCTACCAATCTATCCCCCCTAGGAGCATGCACGTAGTACTTTTTTCGATAGCTAATAGAATTTTTCAATAATTATGTGAGTTCTTTATGACTAATGTTTAGTCCATGGATTATACACACTCTCACCCTTCCACCATTGCTAGCCTCGCTCTCTACTACCGAGCAACTCTCGCTAGTGCATTACACCCATCATACACCTTCCTCATAGTAGCCACCATACCTATCTATTATGGCATTTCCATAGCCATTCTGAGATATATTGCCATGCAACTTCCACCGTTCCATTTATTATGACACGCTTCATCATTGTCATATTGCTTTGCATGGTCACTCTTGAGTCATTGCACATCCCGGTACACCGCCGGAGGCATTCATATAGAGTCATATTTTGTTCTAGTATCGAGTTGTAATTCTTGAGTTGTAAGTAAATAAAAGTGTGATGATCATCATTATTAGAGCATTGTCCCATGTGAGGAAAGGATAATGGAGACTATGATTCCCCCACAAGTCGGCATGAGACTCCGGACGAGAAAAAAAAGAGAAAAAAAAAGAGAGGCCAAAGAGTCCAAAATAAAAAATGATAGAAAAGAGAGAAGGGGCAATGCTCTATCCTTTTTCCACACTTGTGCTTCAAAGTAGCACCATGATCTTCATGATAGAGAGTCTCCTATTTTGTCACTTTCATATACTAGTGGGATTTTTTCATTATAGAACTTGACTTGTATATTCCAATGATGGGCTTCTTAGAATTGCCCTAGGTCTTCGTGAGCAAGCGAGTTGGATGTACACCCACTTAGTTTCTTTTTGAGCTTTCATACACTTATAGCTCCAGTGCATCGGTTGCATGACAATCCCTACCCACTCACATTGATATCTATTGATGGGCATCTCCATAGCCCGTTGATACGCCTGGTTGATGTGAGACTATCTCCTTCTTTTTGTCTTCTCCGCAACGACCATATTCTATTCCACCTATAGTGCTATATCCATGGCTCACGCTCATGTATTGCATGAAAGTTGAAAAAGTTTGACATCAAAAGTATGAAACAATTTCTTGGCTTGTCATCGGGGTTGTGCATGATTTAATACTTTGTGTGATGTAGATGGAGCATAGCCAGACTATATGATTTTGCAGGGATAACTTTCTTTGGCCATGTTATTTTGAGAAGACATGATTGCTTTATTAGTATGCTTGAAGTATTATTGTTTTTATGTCAATATTTTTTTTGAATCTTATGGATCTGAATATTCATGCCACAATAAAGAAAATTACATGGATAAATATGTTAGGTAGCATTCCACATCAAAAATTCTGTTTTTATCATTTACCTACTCGAGGACGAGCATGTATTAAGCTTGGGGATGCTTGATACGTCTCCAACGTATCTATAATTTTTTATTGTTCCATGCTATTATATTATCTATTTTGGATGTTTTATATGCATTAATATGCTATTTTATATTATTTTTGGGACTAACCTATTAACCCAGAGCCAAGTGCCAGTTTCTGTTTTTTCCTTGTTTTTGAATTTTACAGAAAAGGAATACCAAACGGAGTCCAAACGGAATAAAACTTTCGCGATGATTTTTCTTGGACCAGAAGACACCCATGGAACTTGGAGTCCAAGTCAGAAGAGTCCCGAGGAGGTGACAAGCCTCCAGGGCACGCCTCCCTGGCTTGTGGCCCCCACCCGGGAGTCCACCGACCTATTCCCAAACTATTCCCAAACTATTAGAGGAGTCCATGAAAATCCTAAAATATTCCCAAACTATTAGAGGAGTCCATGAAAATACTTTTCCACTGCCGCAAGCCTCTGTTCCCATGAGATCCCATCTTGGGGCCTTTTTCAGCGATCTGCCGGAGGGGGAATCGATCACGGAGGGCATCTACATCAAGTTTATTGCCCTTCCGATGAAGTGTGAGTAGTTTACCACAAACCTACGGGTCCATAGCTAGTAGCTAGATGGCTTCTTCTCTCTCTTCGATCTTCAATACAATGTTCTCCTCAATGTTCTTGAAGATCTACCCGATGTAATCTTCTTTTGCGGTGTGTTTGTCGAGATCCGATGAATTATGGATTTATGATCAGCTTATCTATGAATATTATTTGAATCTTCTCTGAATTCTTATATGCATGATTTGATATCTTTGTATTTCTCTTCGAATTATCAGTTTAGTTTGGCCAACTAGATTGGTATTTCTTGCAATGGGAGAGATGCTTAGCTTTGGGTTCAATCTTGCATGATTTCACCCAGTGACAAAGTAGGGGTAGCGAGACACGTATTGCATTATTGCCATCGAGGATAACAAGATGGGGTTTTCATCATATTGCTTGAGTTAATCCCGCTACATCATGTCATCTTACTTAATGCGTTACTCTGTTCTTATGAACTTAATACTCTAGATGCAGTCAGGAGTCGGTCGATGTGTGGAGTAATAGTAGTAGATGCATATATAATCGTTCCGGTCTACTTGACACGGACGTGATGCCTATATGCATAATCATTGCCTTGGATATCGTCATAACTTTGCGCTTTTCTATCAACTGCTTGACAGTAATTTGTTCACCCACTGTGTTATTTTCCTTCAAGAGAGAAGCCTCTAGTGAAACCTATGACCCTCGGGTCTATTTTCCATCATATACCAAAAAACCCAAAAATACCTTTCTGCAATTTATTTACCCAAAGACCTTCTTTTTAGAACTACCTTCGCTGCCTTAGCTAAAAGCATCTCCTGCCACCCATGCACTTGGCTGCACATGTTGTTTTTATGTACCCAAAGACCTTATTTTTATAACTACCGACATGGACAGGTAAGCTGAGATAATGATCATTCCAATTCTCACTCTGGACCGCTAGCGCACTCTTCATCTGATTCCTTGCCAGTTCACTAGTATTGGCCCAAAACATGACCGCAGACTTCTCAACATTTATGAATTGACTGGAGCAATTTTCATATAGGTCAAGGATTCCTCGAAGGGTACTGGCCTCCTCCTGTATTGCCTTTAATATGACCATCGAATCATCTACAAAAAACATATGTGAAACACTTGGTGCCGCTTGGCAAATACGGATGCCACTTATCCTTCCTTCCTCCTCGGTCACATGTTTCCAGGAGGAGGCCCGTGTAACTCTAGATATGGTCGAAACAAGAATCGGAAGGCTACAAGTGTAACCAGGAATGAAATGATGTTGGGAGCAACAAGTTAGAAAACCATTTGCATTTCTAGAATGCAAGGTTTGAGAAGGCCCGAATGCATATAAAATACATGGGATTGGACAAATGATGTGAAAGTTGTGCATAGGACAAAGTTAGGGGGTGCTTTGCCCAAACTTGGTGCAAACATGAGTTTGGTTTGCTCAGATTTGAGAACAAAGTGTACCACCAGAAACATAGCAAAATTATGGTCAAGAAACATAAACCATTTGCCAAATTACGTGCAAACCCTACGCACTGCCGAATTATACTCAACGACGGTTTTGAAGTCCAGGAATCTCAAGTTCATCCAGTCATGCTCTGCGGGAGGTTGAATGGTGTACGTGAGTTTCTGAAATCTATTCTTCAGGGAAATTCAGAGAGTCTTGGGGTCCCTCTCCGCCAGGTACTCATTCTTGAGAATAGTCCAGAGATGACGTCGTGGAAAATGCAGAACCTCAAAGTTCTCAATCCTTGTCGGGCTGCACCCTCGACTGAATCTTCGGCGACGGTGTTTCCTAAACCTCTTCCTTCGAGTATGATTTCAACATCCAATCTCCAGGCGAGATAGTTGTGCCCATGATGAATCCGGTTCTAGTTTTTCATGCGTATAATAGGATTACTAGCAATAATTCATGATTAAAGCAATTTCAGATTACTTGCATAATAAAAGCTACAATAACAATTATATTAAGAGGCACTAGAAAGCATTTAATAATAGAAAATTAAAGTTAATTACAAGGACTAAAATGTAAAACTTCACATTTGACTGCAATTTCCGACAAGGGGTTTCACGCTGGTCGGACCTTTCCGTAATTCATGAGAAGTCCAGGGGCTTTATCGCAAAGATTAGCTCCTTTTTTTTCTACACAAGAAAATAAGCCTGGGCCATCTTCATGGGTTGGGCCAAAGGCCACGGCTCGCTCACAGTGTGGTTCCGGTAAGGAAGATTTGCTCCTCCTCCTCTCCGTCTCTCCGGTCTCCACGCCGCCGCCGCCCGCTCCTACGGGGAGCCGATCCCGCGCCTGAGCGCAGCAGCCATGGCGATTGCTTCTCTCATCGCCTCCAGGTTCGCCAGGTCCGGCCACGGGCACGCCCTCCCCGCCGCCGCCGCGGCCATCTCTCAGGTGCCGCCTCCCCCTCCAACTCTTGCCCCTTGCTCAAAATGCAAATCTTGGTTGTTCCTCCGCCGATGTTGATCTGATATGCTGGTTTGTTCCACCGCGCGCGCGATCTGGTGGTGGTCAGGCGCCCAGGGCCCAGCACGCCGCATCTCCGCTGCTCTCCGGCTTCGGACCACTCACTCGCGCCTTCAGGTAACCACCATCACCAGCTCAACTCACTACGTACGTGCACAGATAACTAGCTGATCCGCTCAATATTGAAATTGAATCGAATGTATGCCCTACCCTGCTGTCCTGTATGTGTGTGTGTGCAGCTCAAGGCCTCTATGGAAGGGAGCGTTCGTCGACGCGTTCCTGCAAAGGATAAAGAACAAGAGGGAGAACCTCAACGGCAAGAAGATCTGGTCTCGCAGGTCTTCCATCCTGCCGGAGTTCGTCGGTTCCACCGTGCTCATTTACAACGGCAAGACTCACGTCCGCTGCAAGATCACCGAGGGGAAGGTCGGCCATAAGCTTGGGGAGTTTGCTTTTACGCGCAGACGGAGGCCCCATCGGGCCATTTTGGCGAAGGGCGGTCAAGGAAAGGGGAAGAAGAAGTAAGAAATGGGAATGTGCGTGCGTCAAAGGTGAGGTTACGATATTGTTATTAGAAATGGATTTGGATATCAGCAGCTGATACTGCACAAAGTTTACCCTTGCTGCATTGTAGCAAGGCTCTTTGTTTATCCTGAAATGAAATTTTCTTTAGTTGCGGCGGGTGGAAATAATAAAAACATTCGGTTGGTGCTAACTTGGGCGTTGTGGCAGAACAATCTGTGTTGCTTGTATTTAGCTTCCAGCCTAACTTGTGATAAATGATGGAACACAGGACAAAAATAACCCACGTTGACCACATCATGCCTTTGCTATCCTCATAGATCTTCGTGTGGCTATCTTTTAGCTATTAGTATGTTGTGGTCAATTTCCAATCTACATTTTGAAAATGGATGTCTTGGTAGATTGTAGATTCCAAACTATATTCCTATTAGATTGTACTCCCTCTCTGAAGAAATATAAGAGTGTTTAGATCACTAAAGTAGTGATCTAAACACTCTTATATTTCTTTATGGAGGGAGTATGTACTTTCATTACCATACCAAAAAGATCAGAAGTATGCGAAGATTGGTTGGGTAGATCAGAAGTTAGGGCAGTCTGACTTCAACCTGCTCTCCTGTGCATTACTCTGTTTTTCTTCACTGTAGCCCATTTATCTTGTAGCACAATTTCAACCTTTGGGCATGATTGAATTAAATTTTCTTGATAATAGTAAAGTTGAGATTTGTGTGTATAGATAACTGATACAAAATCCTGAAGTGAACTTATATTATAAGAGAGGTGACGTGTCAAATCATAGGAGCGTGTCTTTTATTTAATTTTAGTTTGACAAGTGTTTTAAGGAGCTGTACCTTATAATTATAATTCTCAGGTTCTAGTGCCGCACGTCAGGTTTCATCTTCGCCGGCAAATCTTTGTCACATGGTTAAGGCAGGTGACTGTGATGTTCAATATTTGTGATCAGTATCCCATATTTTACTTCTCTTATTGGGGTTGGGTTAAAGTGAATTCTCCTTCCCGTTCAATTGAGTTGTGAATAGTGAGCTACATCTCTTTGTAAACTGTGTATGATGTGTCAAACTGTAGACTAAGGCTGACCCACAATCTGTGCCAGGCCTGTTAAGCATTTGTGCTATGACATCTTATCTTGGTTAGAATGATAATGCAATTGAGATGTATGTATGGCCATAAATGAGTGAGATTGTTGTCGATGCTTATGAAATACATACACAAGCTTGGCTTGTTAAATGTGTTTTCACTATGGTTGCAAACATAATGGAGCTTTCTGTTTCTGGGCGATACTTACTTTTTGTCACTTGCCCAGCTGTTTATCTCACTCTGTTCATAACTTTTAATTTCAGGTGGGTTTATGGACGGTGGGATGAGGGCCTAGTTGAAGCACAAGCACTTGAATCACCTTAATTTTCCGGACTGCGTTTTCTTTCTTACAAGAATAATTATAGCAGAAAGAATGTTTAGCTCATCTTACTTGAAGATTTTCCATGTACTCTGTTTGTTTACTCTGCTAGTGGTTCCAGCATAACTCTAGAGTGCTGGTCTTATATTTCTTTGGGCCTTACTGAGGTCTGATGCCACGACTTGCCAACTGTCATGTGTATCTTGCTACACTTCCTTTGCAATAGGGGTATCTTGCTGATTGTTGCTTTGCATCGGCTAGCATGGTTGCTTTGGATATAATTTTTTTTGGCATAATTAGCTCCTTTCAAGTCTGTTTTGATAGACTTAATCCCCCCTTAAGAATGTATCACAAAATTTAGCCGCCTGCGCCAATGGCGACACGTGTCCTCTGTGGGCACCTGACATATTTAGCATCTTAAGAACATGTCATAAAATTGCTGATTGCTGCTCCAGAAGCATTGATACCTGCACAATGAACATAAGCATAAAACAATAAGAATTCAGAACCTCACGCATGGCAGAGCCCCCTACCAATGAAATCAGAGCTTCCTGCTGCCGGGTGATTTGTAGTGGAGGCTCGAGTCAGAGCTCTCGTCCCACGAGCACCGACCTCGCTGCCGCGCGCCGCCACATTGGAGAAGAGACGAGAAGGGGAGAGGACCTGTTGCTGTCCACGTCGGGCTGATTTTTTTCTACGTTGGCAAATGGCAAGGGCGAAACGGCGTCTCCAACTTACAGCGGGGGCCCACTACTTACTTGGACGCTTCATACTACTTTGTTTCCAATAACTCTGCTGCTCCTGAATCCTGAAGCCCGAAGAACAAAAAATCATTGCCTTAGCAGTAAACTAATGAAGTCACCTGCTTAGTTTTGATGTTGTGTATGTATGTTCGAGTGATCCTGAGGTCGAGAGTTCGAGCCTCTCTCGCCCCAACTTTTGTTTTTTGAATTTTCCCTTTTTTCGAGAATTTTTTTAAAAAGTATTTCCTGCAACAATCCTTTCTTCTGGAATATAAAAAATCCTACTTGTTCCTTTTTTTCTTGAGATTTTTCATTCTTATTTTTTTCATGCAACCATCCTTTCTTCTGGAATAAGAAGATTCCTAGAATCAAACCAAGCACAGCAACATACTCCCTCCGTTCCTAAATATAAGTTTTTGTAGAGATTTCACTATAAACCACATACGGATGTATATAGATGCATTTTAAGTGTAGATTCATCCATGCAAAAAAAAAGTGTAGATTCATCCATTTTGCTCCGTATGTAGTCTACCTAGTGGAATCTCTACAAAGACTTATATTTAGGAACGGCGGGAGTACATTGCATAATTTTTCCAAAATACATACACACACATGGTAAGATTTTGAGCGTCACATGACAACAACATGTAAGTTTTGCTTCAAAGCTAGTTTTCAGCCAAATAGTCGTGTGTATCTTGCTGCTGGATTTGATATGAGCGGGAAATTTTCTGCTGGATAGCTATGCGCGCGTGCAGTACTTTTGTACTTACTATTTTCAGGCATCTCCTTCTCTAGGCGTAGGCCTATTCTTCAGGCATCTTATTGGGTTCATTCTCTTGCTTGCTTGATGTGTTCGCATGTCTATATATTAACATCAACATAATAATTAATCATTTTTGTGACAATTTATACTATCTGCTCTTGCCGAACAGAGACATACTGAATTAAGCCTCTTTGATTCATAGGATTTTATTGACATGTGAATAGGAAAATGGTAGGATTGGAGTGTCATGACATGTTTATTCTTAGAAGCTTGTAGGAATTAGCAAATGATGTTTGATGCACCATAGGGAAGTCACAGAAATTTGAAAAAGAAGTTCGAGTGGATTGTAATTCGAGACTGGATTTTCTACTCCCTGGAGCAGCCACACCTTTCTCCTCTTCAATCTCAAGTTGACGCTGGATGTCCAAGTACTCCAAAGCATTGACACCTGCACTCTAAACATAAGCATAAAACTATAAAAATTCAGAGTCTCACGCATAGCAACAAATGATTGTGGAAGCACAACCCAAATCATTCCGATCGGCAAGCACAACCCTAAATCGAAAGAACAACCCTAAATCGGAGCTCCCTGCCGCTTCAAGGAGAGTATTGTATCGTTGCTTAATGTTTATTATCTTGATGCGGTGAGGTGAGCTGGGGTCGATGTATCCATACATGGATCATGTTATGAACAAATATTTTGTTATTGCAGCCTGCCGGCCACTATCTGTTTTCATTCCTGGTGCTTGGTTTAATTTTTTGAACACAATGCGGACGCAAGCGCTCGTATATACATGCATACACTCCCCCCTATGAATGCACACACGCACACTCTATCTCTATGAGCACCCTGGGACGTGAAATTGAACGGAAAAAAGTGCAAGGGCTTGATCACATGCATGGTACACCTTGATGGGCACACCTGATCTGTATCGAAGTAAGTTTCATGCCTCCATGAACTGATTGACCATTTTGTCAAGGATTGACTAAAGGTTCCAATACAGATAAGAAACTTACAACGAAAGTGCCATGCGTACGATGATTTTTCCGTACGATTTCGTACGACAAGACACAGGCACACTTCCCGAGGTTTGGGCCCACACCACCAGATGAGTCTGGTCGTACAAAGATCGTGTGGATTTCTGTCCGCAACTCTCAACTTAGAAAGGTACAATAAGAACAGATTTGAGAAAATAGCACATGAACATGAATAAAGGAAGTGCAAGGGCTGGATCACATGGTGGTCCATTTGTGCCCCCAAAGTACACTTTGATGGAATGATGGATCCTTGAGAAGTAGTAGGCTCCATATTTTGTCTATTTTCTTTTCTTTGCTTGAGAACCGTGGGGTCGTCGGAATCTTGAACTGATTGGTTGATAGTTTTATCATTGTGTCGGCTATGAACTGAACAATATGAGCCTGCTGTTACTGCATCAGCTGTGAAGAAATGTACACACACACCATTTGTAATCTCTGGAAGTTGCATACGTAAAACTGGGGCTGTGAATGAAGATGAGTAGAATTATAGGTCACTAATGTATGCCTCGCAGTTGGAGAAGAATAGTCTTAGTTGCTTGATGAGAGCCAAAAGCATAACGGGGCGGTGGCGCAGTTGGCTAGCGCGTAGGTCTCATAGCTAAATTATGCGAGTGATCCTGAGGTCGAGAGTTCGAGCCTCTCTCGCCCCAAATTTTTTGCTGGCATGGATTTAATTTATTTCACTTTTGGCTCCTATTTAAGTATTTAAACTGTAATAGGTCTGAACTTGTTTCCACTTTTGGCTCGTATGCAACCACGAAACTTCATGCCAGGTTTTTATTTTTATTTTTTCCATACGATGGATTAGGCCGGCGGTACTGCAATTCAAGAGATAAAGGAACAACAAAACAAAATAGCAAAAAAGAAGATAACGGGCAACACCTAGCTAAAGCAGAAAAAGCTTCAGGCCTCACTCACTGTGTGTTCATCCCTCAGGTGCCAAGGATCAAGTCCAAACCTCGGGCTCCTTCTTTTCTCAACGCGCTCATATGTTCCTTTCTTTCCTCGCAAATCCTCCCTTCTTTCCGTAAAGCACCCCACTCCG